ACATTACTGGGAGTATTATTGCTGTGGAGCTCTGTTATACACTCAGACACATTACTGGGAGTATTATTGCTGTGGAGCTCTGTTATACACTCAGACACATTACTGGGAGATTTATTGTTGTGGAGCTCTTTTATACACTCAGACACATTAATGGGAGTATTATTGCTGTGGAGCTCTGTTATACACTCAGACACATTACTGAGAGTATTATTGCTGTGGAGCTCTGTTATACACTCAGACACATTACTGGGAGATTTATTGTTGTGGAACTCTGTTATACACTCAGACACATTAATGGGAGTATTATTGCTGTGGAGCTCTGTTATACACCCAGACACATTACTGGGAGTATTATTGCTGTGGAGCTCTGTTATACACTCAGACACATTACTGGGAGTATTATTACTGTGGAGCGCTGTTATACACTCAGTCACATTACTGGGAGTATTATTGCTGTGGTGCTCTGTTATACACTCAGACACATTACTGGGAGTATTATTGCTGTGGTGCTCTGTTATACACTCAGACACATTGCTGGGAGTATTATTACTGTGGAGCTCTGTTATACACTCAGACACATTACTGGGAGTATTATTGCTGTGGAGCTCTGTTATACACTCAGACACATTACTGGGAGTATTCTTGCTGTGGAGCTCTGTTATACACTCAGACACATTACTGGGAGTATTATTGCTGTGGAGCTCTGTTATACACTCAGACACATTACTGGGAGTATTATTGCTGTGGAGCTCTGTTATACACTCAGGCACATTACTGGGAGTATTATTGCTGTGGAGCTCTGTCATACACTCAGATACATTACTTGGAGTATTATTGCTGTGGAGCTCTGTTATACACTCAGACACATTACTGGGAGTATTATTACTGTGGAGCTCTGTTATACACTCAGGCACATTACTGGGAGTATTATTGCTGTGGAGCTCTGTTATACACTCAGACACATTACTGGGAGTATTATTGCTGTGGAGCTCTGATATAACACATTACTAGGAGTATTATTGCTGTGGAGCTCTGATATAACACATTACTGGGAGTATTATTGCTGTCGAGCTCTGATATAACACATTACTGGGAGTATTATTACTGTGGAGCTCTGTTATACACTCAGACACATTACTGGGAGATTTATTGTTGTGGAGCTCTGTTATACACTCAGTCACATTACTGGGAGTATTATTGCTGTGGAGCTCTGTTATACACTCAGACACATTACTGGGAGTATTATTGCTGTGGAGCTCTGTTATACACTCAGACACATTACTGGGAGTATTTGCTGTGGAGCTCTGTTATACACTCAGACACATTACTGGGAGTATTATTGCTGTGGAGCTCTGTTATACACTCAGACACATTACTGGGAGTATTATTGCTGTGGAGCTCTGTTATACACTCAGACACATTACTGGGAGATTTATTGTTGTGGAGCTCTGTTATACACTCAGACACATTAATGGGAGTATTATTGCTGTGGAGCTCTGTTATACACTCAGACACACACTGGGAACTGTGAGATATTATACACTCGACACATTACTGGGAGATTTATTGTTGTTGTGGAGCTCTGTTATACACTCAGACACATTACTGGGAGTATTATTGCTGTGGAGCTCTGTTATACACTTAGACACATTACTGGGAGTATTATTGCTGTGGAGCTCTGTTATACACTCAGACACATTACTGGGAGTATTATTGCTGTGGAGCTCTGTTATACACTCAGACACATTACTGGGAGTATTATTGCTGTGGAGCTCTGATATACACTGTTATACACATTACTGGGAATATTATTGCTGTGGAGCTCTACATTACTGGGAGTATTATTGCTGTGGAGCTCTGTTATACACTCAGACACATTACTGGGAGTATTATTGCTGTGGAGCTCTGTTATACACTCAGACACATTACTGGGAGTATTATTGCTGTGGAGGTCTGTTATACACTCAGACACATTACTGGGAGTATTATTGCTGTGGAGCTCTGTTATACACTCAGACACATTACTGGGAGTATTATTGCTGTGGAGCTCTGTTATACACTCAGACACATTACTGGGAGTATTCTTGCTGTGGAGCTCTGTTATACACTCAGACACATTACTGGGAGTATTATTGCTGTGGAGCTCTGTTATACACTCAGACACATTACTGGGAGTATTATTGCTGTGGAGCTCTGTTATACATCAGAAAAACCAACAATATGGAGCTTCTTCTGGAAAAGAGAAACAAAGGGACCTGAGCCCAAAATAGTGACTGTTCCTCCTAAACAGGGACACTTGGGAGGTATTATAGCTGTGACTGTGGAGGAGTTGTAGAATTATTCCAGATCAGCTATTTTTGTCTAAACATTGTACAGAATTGTATTATATTTTGGATGTACGTTATATTCAGTAAGGTGATACCTGCTCAAGTCAAACAAAGCTAATCGTTAAAGAAAATTACAGTTTTGTATTCCTGGCACTACCGATCCCTCTGCCCCTTCGTCGCGCCCTCCCCGGTAAATAAAGGGTTAAAAATAATTTATTTACTTACCTGATCCTAGCGCCGATGCCCCTCGGTGCTGGATGGAAGTCCCGCCCCCTCCTCCATCCCACGACGAGCAGCGCGCGCATTAAATCTCCCAATAGGTAAGCATTGAATCAATGCTTTCCTATGGGGAAAAATCTGATGCTGGAGGTCCTTATGCAGAGTGTTAGGACGACCAGGGTCAGATAATGGACCAAAAGTCTGTTACGATTCCAGAAGTGCCCCCATTGGCTGTCTGGTAGACTGCCACTGAGGGCAAACTTAGAGCTGCAATGTAAACATTACAGTATCTCTGGAACAGAAATGTTTAACATTGCAGCACTAGGTGCTAAAGGGACACAGCACCCAGACCACTTCAATGAGCTGAAATGGTCTGGGTGCCTACAGTGTCCCTTTAACTAACCCTAATGATGCTTTTCCAACTACTTTTATACAAAGTAGCACATGTATAACTGAAAACAGTATCTTTATCTTTTGAGTACCCCAAATCTGTAGCCATGTCAATTGTTCCACATTTATATTTTCTTCGGGAATAATTAATTCTAGCCTGTCGTCATGTGACATTTGGAGAGTTTATCAATAGATTTAACAGCTTTGTTGCCAAAACAGAAGACAAGGAACTTTTAAAAAATCATTCTCAAATGGAAGTCACTGTCCTGAAGAGCTTGCAATCAAAACAACTATTTTTTGTGAATCGCAAGCCTTGTGCAACGAGACCAAAGAGGTTGGAATATTAAACTCAATGGGACAAATGTGCGTTTTTATTGTCACACCTGCTTAATGTTCATAGTATGCGGTCTGAATGAATTGCTGGCTCATATAACTCTGAATAAAATATTCCCCATCTGTGCCAAATGGAGGATATTGGATATTTAGGACAATAATAATTGATGGATATCGTTATCCAGGAAAATTTCATCAAGTCAGACTTGGCTGTTCTTGTTGAGACAAAACATATATCTTTCTACGTGAGAATCCATCCTCAGAGCAACTAAACCTCGTGGGGATTAGAGAGTAGTAAGGTTCATTAAAAACAAGTTAAAAGTCTCATTTTCAACTAACTCTTTCTGCAATGGCACAAGATGGCATTTCATGCAAATTAGGTCTGGTCCCATGAGTCATTGCACCTGTGCACCTCTTCCAAACACACGCTACAGCTGTAAGTGGTAATCTGATTTTTGTTTTTTTGTCATGATGTTAGGAGCTCATTAGCAATTTCTTTAATTACATTTATTTTTAATGAAAGGTACAACTTCTTTCGTTGAATATTGTGGAGCGAGGTTTGCCACAAGGATAATACTATCTACAACTACCACTCCCATGATGCATCACAAGCTTTAAGGCTAAAAACGTTTTATAGACTGAGGATTACAATGTAGGTTAGTATAACACAGTTCTTCTTGGTGGTTGGTCTATGGTGCTTGTACACTGATACATCTGTTTGGAAAAGTCTTGAACAAGTGCATATTCCCTGTACAGTGCTGTATACACCAACGTGGACTCTCACAGCTCACAGTACATCGTGGGATAAAAAGTCAGGACAGCTGGTAAATAGAGTTAAAACATATAGTGACTGTCCCATTTTAATTTTTTTAGAGGGACCAGAATTACATACCTGGCTTTAGCTGGGTGACACTTTCCTCGTTGGTTAAATTAGCTTAGAGACCTAATCCTTACTGTGAAAGGCAGTGCTGTCACAGTAACCAGGGCCGTCTATAATATGATTAGGACCCTGGGCAATGCATTTTCTTGGGCCCCATGGGCCCTGTCCCTGCCACTGCCTCACCCCCCAATTACGTCCAACCCGCAATCACACTGACAGACGTACTGGCACATACACACACAGACAGACATTAAAACATTCACAGATACATACTGACAAACAAAGTCACTACACACAAATATATACTGGCAGACATACTGACACACACACAGACATACATACATACACAGACACATACATTAACAGATATACTGACACACACACAAACACATACACTGACAGATATACTAAAACACATAGACACAGACACTGACAGACACATTGACACACACACACACAGGCATACTGACATATACACACAGGCATATTGACATATACACAGACAGACGTAATGGCTGATACAGACAGACATTAAACATTCACAGATATATACTGACACACACATACACTGACATACAAATATATCCTGGCAGACATACTGACACACACACACACACACACACAGACATACATACATACACACACAGACACATACACTGACAGACATACTGACTGACACACACATACACACACATACTTACATACACACACATACTTACATACACACACAGACATACTGACACACAAAGACATGCTGACACACAAAGACATGCTGACACACACAGACATACTGACATACACACAGACAGACTGGCACATACACACAGACAGACATTAAAACATTCACAGATACATACTGACACACACATACACTGACACACAAATATATCCTGGCAGACATACTGACACACACGTACACACACACACAGAGACATACCTACATACACACACACACAGACATACTGACACACACACACACAGACATACTGGCATACACACAGACATACTGACACACACACACACACAGACATACGCACACACACACACTGACATACACACACAGACATACTGGCATACACACAGACATACTGACACACACACACACACACAGACATACTGGCATACACACACAGACATACTGGGACATACTGACACACACACACAGACATACTGGACATACTGGCATACACACACAGACATACTGGCATACACACAGACATACTGACACACACACACACACACACAGACATACTGGCATACACACAGACATACTGACACACACACACACAGGCATACACACAGACTGACACACACACACAGACCTACTGACATACATTTAGCCACCCTCCAGGTTCTTACCTTTTCCTGGAGGGTGGTTTCCCTGGTCCAGTGGCAGGCTGAGGCAGATGGGAGTTCTCCTCTGGAACTCCCCTCCTCCCTGCCTTCCTCCTCCCGCGCGGCTATCTCCGGTGGGAGGAAGTGACGTCACTTCCTCCCAGCCGGCTGCAGAACCGGAAGAGGGGCCCGGTCGCGCTGTTTAAGCGCCACAGCGCCCGACCGGGCCCCTGCTGACACATGCTCCCCGGGTGGCCCTTAGTGCATGGGCCACCCGGGGAGCCTCCTCAGTGTGCGGGAGCCGCACCGCAGGGGCTGCGCAAATCGCGGGGCCCACAGAGCAGCTGCTCTGGGCCCCCAGGAGCAACTGGGCCCGGGGCAGCTGCCCCGTTTGCCCCACGTTAAAGACGGCCCTGACAGTAACTCTTTATTGTAGACACTTACCTGGAGTCTGATGAATATTCTAGAGGCTATGTATAAAGAGAAATTCTGGTCCAAAGTTATAAAAGTCTGCTGCCTTTGTAAGCCTTCCCCTTCTAACCCTGCCCAGACTTTCTGTGGCTGTCCAATCACAGACTCCCCAATGCAGCTCAATGAGAAGTCTTTGCACAGCAGGTGCTCTGAGCAATTGCTGCCTCTTTGAGTTTATCTCCACTGAGTTAAACAAACCAGGAAGTAACAGGACCAGTTGTCTGATTGACAGCCAGGGGGTGTAACCAGAATAATTTATAATAAAAAAAAAAAAAAGTGACAATTTCTACTGAAATCTGCACTTATTGCAAAATTTAAAAAAAAGAACCCACTTCACATACTCAATATTTCAGCAAAATAGGCTTCTTTAAAGGGCTGGAGAGCCACCATTTTAATTCTGCTCATTGCTTTGCACCATCTGAATTAATGACAAGTCTGGTAAACCAATAAAATACCATGAGAACCATTTTAGGTTGTGGGAAACAGTAAAATGTGAATTTTGTGATCTTTATTGGAGAAGCAGGGCTGCATGAAGGTGACACATCTAGCGTGAAGAGGAGTGAGATGCATTAATATATAGGTGTGAAGGAGCACGGATGGAAAGGCTGCCGTATGATCCGTCTAGTTAAATCGATCATCCGTGCACAGGATGGCGTCTTCACCCCAAACAATGACTTATCAGGAAATCTCTGCAAACACACAACTCTTACCTAAATGGCCAAAATATTGGGATTTATATACAGACAATCTGTAGATGGCAATGGGACCTTGGGGAAACAAAACATATCCATAAATAAAAGAAAATATTTAAAACTTTTAAGCAGGGATTTTAGCCTTAATTCACTGTAAATGTTCCCGTTTCCTGCTGTTTGAACCTATTCAGTTACAGTATTCTGAATATACATGTAAAAACAATCAGAATAAGGTGGGTTCAAGGCGCGAGAGGAGTGTACATGCCAATATGGAAATTTAACAAAAAGCTAAACATTTCCACTGGAGGATATTGCTCATAATAGGCTTATTCAGTACAATCAGAATTGTCAGAAATTCAGAATGTTTAGCCAAACTAGTACTGGGGGTAAAATATCTTCAAGTCAACTAGGTTTGCGAATCAGTGATATTGAACGAAAATTTGAAGTCCCTGTACATCTCTCCCACAATGTTTGTAGGGGGTGTAGAAGGCGTGACACGGAAAAGGAAAGAAATATTACACATTACAGCATTCAACTGATTTACATCCAACACTGTCCCCAAGAGCTTGCAATCAGGTCTTACCATCCGTTTAGCCTAGATGGAAACACACACACACACGAGACTAGATGTTACAAATTAAAGGCTGGAATAAGGCAGATGAATTATTTTGCAGGCTTTATTGGGATTTATGATTTTTTTTTTTGAAATTGCACTTTTTGCTGACTTGCACAAAGCGTGGAGCAGCGAGTGGGAGTGAAGCGGCCAGTTAATTCTCCGTTTTCTTTTCCCTGAGTTATGCATTCTCTCTCTCTTCTTGTTGTGGATTTGTTGTCTGGCTCATTTGGTGGGCTCTAGGAAAAGCATTGCGAATCCTGCCAACATCACGACTACGCAGACATACTGTCTGCAAAGGGACTTCCTGTCCCTAGTGGGACTTAAGCTTAAAAAGACTTTAAGAAACCTTAGAGCAGTTTGTTTCTCGCAGACTCTCTGCTTGTCTCTGTTATGGATAAATACACCAAATTTCAACTAAATGAACATCTCACTTAAAGTATCACATCTAAGTGGTTTCTTTTAGAATGCAAATAAATTGGGAGATTCCCTGACACCGCCGCAAGCAGACTAAGCTAATTTTTATTTAATTCGTGTTATTTCGTGCTGTAAATTCGATATTTTTCTCCCCCAAGGCAGAAAAAGATCACTTGCTTGCAAGCCGGATTATATTTAATAATTTTAGAGACAATATAAGAGCACATTAAAATTCACCACAATCCACCCCTCTCCTGTTAACGAGGGACAGATACCACAACAAACTATAATTCTCAGCATCCCTCTCTGGATAATGGGCATTGCAGTCGTGCTGGCTGGTTATTGTTGGACTGCACTTTCAAGAATTGGGCTGGGAAATGGCCAAGAATTCTGGGAAATGAAGTGGAGCGTCAGGTGGGGGGCAAAGGTCAGACACCCCAGTTAGGCCTCTGAGCAAGTCGGTGTCTGACCTATGACCTCTGCACTTAGTCCTATGGGTATACTGCTCCTAAGAAAATATTTTAAAATAAACGACTGATGGCAGAACCTTTTTATTTCGAGCAGTTATAAAATAATTGTTTTCTGTCTGCTCATCAGTGCCAGACAGGATTTTAACGTATCCCTATAAAACTATTTTAATGAGGTTAGAGGCTATGCTGCCTTAAAAAGCTTGGCTTAAACATACAGGATCATTCTGTACAGCACCAGATAACATCGTCATAAACCATCATAGTAAAGTCTCACTGCAGTTTTTAACTTGTTTTGCTCAGTCATTAATTTTGGAATGGTAGGTTGTTCTGTGATGGATCCATACTTTATCGTCCCCCCATCTAAAGCCCCTCACATTCCTGCTCTGACTCTCCTTTCCCCCATTATGCATGTATACCTCCCAACTGTCCCAGGTCTGGTGGAAGAGTCCTGATTTGGAACCATTTTTGCACCGTAACGTTTTTCTCTGTGGACCCACTTCTTCATGTCTTGGAATGTTAGGTTTTAGCCGGCTCAACGTGGGATATCCTGGGTTTGCAATGGCTCCAGCATTGACTATTGGCCATCAGCTTCCAGTGTAGAGAGGGCTTCACAGTTTACCAATCCAAGATAGACACTTCTAAACAAATAAACAAAAATAAAACACCACAATCACTTCGAGCCATGGAACATGGTCCACTATGAAACAAGGAGTTCCAGTGAGACACTTTACATCACAGTTATATCCACGTGGTCTGGACTGGATGAGCATACTAGGCTTACGAGTTCACTTGACGGCCACTGTATTTGTGCAGAGAGATTTTAAATAACTATTGTAATCCTCACTGAAAACACATCGCTCTTACAATGAAAGTGAAAGAGGTCAAAAAAGAAAAAACAAACAAAAAAACCCCATCATTTTAGAATAAAATTTTTGGCCTCCCTGTGATCTGGGTTAGCACTTGTGAATATCCAATATTACAATCATCCCTTAGCAATAAAATCCAGGGATAGTCCCATCTTCAACATGCGTTGGTCTTCACTCTCCAACCCTGACGCCATTAAATCCCACGCGAGCAGCGTTCATGGTGTTTTAATTAATTCAACTAAGAGGTGGGGTGCAGCTGACCTCATGTTTTACTGGTTAACTCTGATGCATCAACACAAATCATCTGATTGGTTCCAATTCCCACTGGTAGAAAACATATATTTATAACTCTGATGAACGGTCATCTTCTATCTCCGTGGTTCAAGATGTCCACAGCTGCTTCTAATTACAGAACTACGTTCGCAAAGTCGTTTATTTCAGTTTAAACGCTGCATTACGCATTTATTATTTAGACTTTGACAGAACAGAACATTCCCCAACAATGCTTAATAAAAAAAAGATTGTCCCTAATTTATCTTTCGAGGGGATGAAGGGATGTACACTTCAAAGTCCACTTATCCGCGAATCCCCCTTCTTAACACACCAGGCCGAGGGAGAGATGCGGAAACTTGACAGCTATTTTCTGATTCTTGTTAAGGGGTCGACGACCCCCATATCACATGACACTAAATAAAATGAAATCGGGAACGTGGGTTTACCCACAATATTCCCAAACAACAGAGGAAAACACAGTGTGAGCACGCCATGTGTACACCTTATGTTGGAGAACTGTACACTTTAACCCTTGCAGTAGATTAAAAACACCAATGCTGATCACCTCACTTGACTTCATTTTTGGAAACACTTGTATTGCAGTGTTTTTTTCCCCAACTTGGAAAATGTGGTGAAAAAAAAACAAACATTGTAAAATGCACGTCAGCACTTTACGAAATAACCCTAAACGTTTAACATGTGACTGTTTCCTGATACAATGTTTAAGAAGTTAAATTGTAGCAGAATTGATCGTTTTTACCGGAGAACGAGGAAATCTTAGTTCCACTGACGGTTTAATTTATACCCTCAAGAATTAGGCCGACGTTGGCACTGGCAGACAGTTATTATAGCTATTCACTAACGTGAGAATTCATAGTGAATTTAAAATTTAAGGCCAAAATCGCTGAATTGGAAGAATTCTCTATTTCAGCTATACTTCCAGTGTGGCTACTTTGGCCTAGAATTAGAAATTTCCTTTTAATTCTCTCGCAACGCATAATTCTTGCTGTCTATACAGTGTGGCCATTCTTGCCTGTTTAGGTTATTGGGAGAGGGGATGGAATTTTGCCACCAGACACATGTACCCCTTTTATTGTCCAATCCTCCATCCAAAAACATTTATACATTTAGTATTCAAGATATTAACCAACCGTTCTCTACTTCCAGGCTAAGTTTCACTAAGTCCGTTTTTAATGTTTTAATGATGTACTTTTACATCGTATCAACCAAAAACGGATCAAGTGTATAATTTCAGTTTTGTATCATTTCAGTTTGAATTTTTTGGAATCTCATTTTACTTACCATAAAGCCGAACACGTTTTGTGCCAGTTACATTGAAACGCAGGGTGCCCAAGGCGCCCAACATATAATACGGGAGCTCGAACACAGTGTGGTGGCCCTTCAAGAATGGAAAATGTGATCTTTAGGTAAGAAACCCTCACCCTAAAATAATAACATTGGAAAAAACAAACAAACAAACAGAAGTGATTAAGTGAGCACAATAAAATGAAACCCTCGGGGTAAGTGTGGTAAGGTGGGGGTACAAATTTCCAGGGGGATAAGCTCTGTACCCCAACACAAGAAAGAGATAGAAATGGAAAGCAAGTTATTTGAATTAGTCATTATTTACAGTTATACTTCACATGCTTTTATGTCCCCGGGGGACCTTTATAGAACAGTTTCCCTACTGGGCTGGTGTCCTGAAATTAAGTCATTATAGGGACATACAGCCATCTTGGGAGTCCGTGTACGTGACCTACAATAAGATTAGAACTTCCATACACATAGTGTCACTTAACTAAAAAAATCCAGCTCTATCCAGTATACTGTACCCCGTAACTCCAGGGGATGGTCCCCATAGACTCTCCAGTATACTGTACACCTAACACCTGGGGATGGTCCCCCATACTCTCCAGTATACTGTACCCCTAACTCCTGGTGATGGTCCCCCATACTCTCCAGTATACTGTACCCCCTAACTCCTGGTGATGGTCCCCCATACTCTCCAGTATACTGTACCCCTAACTCCTGGTGATGGTCCCCCATACTCTCCAGGATACTGTACCCCTTAATTCCTGGGGATGGTCCCCCATATTCTCCAGTATACTGTACCCCCTAACTCCAGGGGATGTGGGGAGCAGTGTGTGTATGTGGGGGGCAGTGTGTGTATGTGGGGCAGTATGTGTGTATGGGGGCAGTGTGTGTGTATGGGGGGGTAGTGTGTGTATGTGGGGGGCAGTGTGTGTGTATGGGGGGCAGTATGTGTGTATGGGGGCAGTATGTGTGTCCTCTAGTATACTGTACCCCTAACTCCTGGGAATGGTCCCCCGTACTCTCCAGTATGCTCTACCCCCTAACTCCAGGGGATGGTCCCCATAGACTCTCCAGTATACTGTACCCCTAACTCCTGGGAATGGTCCCCCATACTCTCCAGTATACTGTACCCCTAACTCCTGGTGATGGTCCCCCATACTCTCCAGTATACTGTACCCCCTAACTCCTGGTGATGGTTCCCCATACTCTCCAGTATACTGTACCCCTAACTCCTGGTGATGGTCCCCAATACTATCCAGTATACTGTACCCCTAACTCCTGGTGATGGTCCCCCATACTCTCCAGTATACTGTACCCCCTAATTCCTGGTGATGGTCCCCCATACTCTCCAGTATACTGTACCCCCTAACTCCTGGTGATGGTCCCCCATACACTCCAGTATACGGTACCCCTAACTCCTGGTGATGGTCCCCCATTATCTCCAGTATACTGTACCCCCTAATTCCTGGGGATGGTCCCCCATACTCTCCAGTATACTGTACCCCCTAACTCCTGGTGATGGTCCCCCATACTCTCCAGTATACTGTACCCCTAACTCCTGGTGATGGTCCCCCATACTCTCCAGTATACTGTACCCCCTAATTCCTGGTGATGGTCCCCCATACTCTCCAGTATACTGTACCCGGTCAGTCACTGTTACATACTCTATGCCAGTGTTTCCCAACCCAGTCCTCAAGGCACACCTACCAGTCCAGGATTTAGGGATTACCCAGTTGTGTCTAAGGTGTTTTTTTTCTTCTTTGTAAAAACACCTTAGACACAACTGGGTAATCCCTAAATCCTGGACTGGTAGGTGCAGTGGCGGATCCAGAGCCTGATCTCGGGAGGGGTACTTGTAGGTTATTTAAAGAAATAATCCAGACACAATAACCACTACAGCTCAGTGTAGTGGTTATGGTGTCAATAGTGCCGGGACCCCCTCCCACAGTAAGTAGTCAAACCGTTTAAGAACAGTTTGACAACTTACCTGAGATCTGCTGGGAATGGGGCTGTAGTAGGGCATAGGAGCAGTGGTGTGTGTGAGTGGTGCAATGTGTAAGGGGTGCAGTGTGTGTGTGTGAAGGTTGTAGTGTGTGAGTGAGGGTGACAGTGTATGTCAGGGATGCAGTGTATGTGTGGGACAGTATGTGTGTGTAACAGTTGCAGTGTGTGTATATGGGGGGCAGTTTGTGTGTATGGGGGGAGCAGCGTGTGTGTGTATGGGGGCAGTGTGTTGTGTGTATGGCGGGCAGTGTGTGTGTATGGGGGGCAGTGTGTGTATGGGGGGCAGTGTGTGTGTGTATGGGGGCGTAGTATGTGTGTGTATGGGGGCAGTGTGTGTGTATGGTGGGGCGGTGTGTGTGGGGGGCGGTGTGTGTATGGGCGGTAGTGTGTGTATGTGGCAGTATGTGTGCATGTGTGTGTGTATGGGGGGCAGTATGTGTATATGTGTGGGGCAGTATGTGTATATGGGGGGTATGTGTGTATAGTATGTGTGTATAGGGGCAGTTTGTGTGAATGGGGGGGCAGTATTGGGGGCAATGTGTGTGTGTGTGGCTTTTTTTTTTTTATAATATATATTTTTTTAATTTAATTAAAATAAATATGCTATGTCCCCCCTCCCTTCTTACCTTTACTGGGGAGGAGGGGGGACATATTTCGATCCCTGGTGGTCCGGTGGGGGATTCATTGGTGGTCAGGTGGTGAGAGTGAACTCTAGCCCGCACTCCAGAGCTAGAGTTCACTCTCGAGAGAGGAGGACCCGGAGGAGCTGCAGACTGAGCTCCCGGGTCCTCTCTCCCTCCCTCTCCCTCCCCTGCTGGCTGTAAGCACAGTGCCTGCGGACCGGGGAGGGCCCCGGTCCGCAGGCACACTGCAGGGCTGGCAGGGGAGGGAGAGGGAGACCGGTGGATTTCTCGGGGGGGGGGGCAATTGCCCCGTTGCCCCCCCCCTGGATCCGCCACTGGGTAGGTGTGCCTTGAGGACTGGGTTGGGAAACACTGCTCTATGCCTCGCTTCGGTCAGTCCTGTTACATACTCTACGCCTCGCTCCGGTCAGTCACTGTTACATACTCAACGCCTCGCTCCGGTCAGTCACTGTTACATACTCTATGCTTTGCTCCGGTCAGTCACTGTTACATACTCTATGCCTCGCTCTGGTCAGTCACTGTGACATACTCAATGCCTCGCTCCGGTCAGTCACTGTTACATACTCTACGCCTTGCTTCAGTCAGTCACTGTTATATACTCTATGCCTTGCTTCGGTAAGTCACTGTTACATACTCTACGCCTCGCTCCGGTCAGTCACTGTTACATACTCTACGCCTCGCTCCGGTCAGTCACTGTTACATACTCTATGCTTTGCTCCGGTCAGTCACTGTTACATACTCTACGCCTCGCTTCGGTCAGTCACTGTTACATACTCTACGCCTCGCTCTGGTCAGTCACTGTTACATACTCTATGCTTTGCTCCGGTCAGTCACTGTTACATACTATATGCCTCACTCCGGGCAGTCACTGTTACATACTCGGCGCCTCGCTCCGGTCAGTCACTGTTACATACTCTATGCTTTGCTCCGGTCAGTCACTGTTACATACTCTATGCCTCGCCCGTCAGTCCTGTTACATACTCTACGCCTCGCTCCAGTCAGTCACTGTTACATACTCTATGCCTCGCTGTGGTCAGTCACTGTTACATACTCTACGTCTCGCTCCGGTCTGTCACTGTTACATACTCTACGTCTCGCTCCGGTCAGTCACTGTTACATACTCTATACTTTGCTCCGGTTAGTCACTGTTACATACTCTATGCCTCGCTTCGGTCAGTCACTGTTACATACTCTACGCCTCGCTCCGGTCAGTCACTGTTACATACTCTACACCTCGCTCCGGTCAGTCACTGTTACATACTCTATGCTTTGCTCCGGTCAGTTCTGTTACATACTCTATGCCTCGCTCCGGTCAGTCACTGTTACATACTCTACGCCTCGCTCCGGTCAGTCACTGTTACATACTCTACGCCTCGCTCCGGTCAGTCCTGTTACATACGCTATGCCTCGCTACGGTCAGTCCTGTTACATACTCTATGCCTCGCTCCGGTCAGTCCTGTTACATACTCTATGCCTCGCTCTGGTCAGTCCTGTTACATACTCTATGCCTCGCTCCGGTCAGTCACTGTTACATACTCTATGCCTTGATCCGGTCAGTCCTGTTACATACTCTATGCCTCGCTCCGGTCAGTCCTGTTACATACTCTATGCCTTGCTCCGGTCAGCCTGTTACATACTCTATGCCTCGCTTCGGTCAGTCCTGTTACATACCCTATGCCTCGCTCCGGTCAGTCCTGTTACATACTCTACGCCTCGCTCCGGTCAGTCACTGTTACATACTCTATGCCTCGCTCCGGTCAGTCCTGTTACATACTCTATGCTTTGCTCCGGTCAGTCACTGTTACATACTCTATGTCTCGCTCCGGTCAGTCCTGTTACATACTCTACGCCTCGCTCCGGTCAGTCCTGTTACATATTCTACGCCTCGCTCCGGTCAGTCCTGTTACATACTCTACGCCTCGCTCCGGTCAGTCACTGTTACATACTCTATGCTTTGCTCCGGTCAGTCACTGTTACATACTATATGCCTCGCTCCGGGCAGTCACTGTTACATACTCGGCGCCTCGCTCCTGTCAGTCACTGTTACATACTCTATGCCTCGCTCCGGTCAGTCCTGTTACATACTCTATGCTTTGCTCCGGTCAGTCACTGTTACATACTCTATGCCTCGCTCCGGTCAGTCCTGTTACATACTCTACGCCTCGCTCCGGTCAGTCCTGTTACATATTCCTACGCCTCGCTCCGGTCAGTCCTGTTACATACTCTACGCCTTGCTCCGGTCAGTCCTGTTACATACTCTATGCCTCGCTCCGGTCAGTCCTGTTACATACTCTATGCCTCGTTCCGGTCAGTCCTGTTACATACTCTATGCCTCGCTCCGGTCAGTCCTGTTACATACTCTACGCCTTGCTCCGGTCAGTCCTGTAACATACTCTACGCCTCGCTCCGGTCAGTCCTGTTACATACTCTACGCCTCGCTCCGGTCAGTCACTGTTACATACTCTATGCCTCACTCCGGTCAGTCCTGTTACATACTCTACGCCTCGCTCCGGTCAGTCACTGTTACATACTCTACGCCTCGCTCCGGTCAGTCACTGTTACATACTCTATGCCTCGCTCCGGTCAGTCCTGTTACATACTCTACGCCTCGCTCCGGTCAGTTCTGTTACATACTCTATGCCTCGCTCCGGTCAGTCACTGTTACATACTCTATGCCTCGCTCCGGTCAGTCCTGTTACATACTCTATGCCTCGCTCCGGTCAGTCCTGTTACATACTCTATGCCTTGCTCCGGTCAGCCTGTTACATACTCTATGCCTCGCTCCGGTCAGTCCTGTTACATACTCTATGCCTCGCTCCGGTCAGTCCTGTTACATACTCTATGCCTCGCTCCGGTCAGTCCTGTTACATACTCTATGCCTCGCTCCGGTCAGTCCTGTTACATACTCTATGCCTCGCTACGGTCAGTCCTGTTACATACTCTATGCCTCGCTACGGTCAGTCAGTATACAAAGAGAACAGAATGGATCTATTCCACTATTTCTCCAAATGAATGCTTGCTCTGTCTGTGCTGGGATTGAACCTGTGCAAAAATTTTAATATACATTTAAAAAGAAAAAAAAAAGGTTATCTCTGTGTCTTGTTAGTAGTGATTTTCAATGTTTTCCTCTGATAAGTGATTGTTCCCCTTTAAATCACACCATCTAAGACGTATAACAATATTATTTGGCAGCATCATCTGAGATGTTAAGATGGAAAGCTCCTAACGCACTGAAACGCGGCACTAAATCACGTCCTAGGGACTGGATTTACACACTCTTTGGGAATTCCATCTTACAATACTATAACCAGCTTAAAAACTGACATTCCTTGGCTTTGGGGGAAGAAGTGCCATTAATTTAATTGGTATTTTCTCAGAAGATCACTGGCATCAATTTATCAAACTCTCCTGCTTGGAAAAGCAGTATAGTGTGAAATCGGAGGTAAAACAAAACCAGATTTATCCCAGATCAGACATTATACTGATCTAGAGCTTTTTTGTATCCCTTCTGTAACAGCTTACATCATCGAGATCTGCTAAACCGTAAATTGTCGAGAAAAACCCTGGAGTACCTGGATATTTCAATCTAAACTATTTTCACCTAAAATCATCTGTTCACTCGTAAATTCCAGACAATTCCCAGTTTAATGAATAACTGTAGACATAAAGTGTAATATATATATGTATGTATGTATGTATGTATAAAAAACAAAAAAGAAATCTGCCTGTTTTATAGGAGATAAAGAGGTAGCTGTAACTCTGCCTGTCTGTCGGGTAGGTTGTGAAAACTTAAAACGTGTCTGAAATCAATCAGCGAACGTCTGTTAAAATACCTGACGCTGTGTCACGCTGCCTTCCTGTTACACAGACCTCACCAAAAACAGATTTATGTGTGGTTTTCATTTTATTACTTCTAGAAACACAGATCAGGGACTATTTGTACCTATTTAACATGTTGGGAACAGGGTTTTGTAGTGACCAAAAAAATGCCCCTAAAAGCTCTGGTCCTTTAACAAACATGACTTAGGTAAAGACTGCTAAGCATCATGGGAAATAAATGGTCAATATCCCCAGGGCCAAGAAGGGCCATTTCACATCTATATCACGGCTGCGTAACGTCGGCCCTCTCGCAGACGTTACGCAATATCGCCATTCTCTGTAAGGAAGAGGCTGGCATAGATTTGTGGGATTTGTAGTTCAATGGAGGGGAGGGAGATTTGGACACATCTGTCCTTTGACAATCCTGTGACTCTTCCCTAATTTGAGAAAGCAAAGGATACATTTCGCTAAATCCCAAAACTCACCACATTAAACACAGAAAATGGAATATTGCAAAATTAGCAAAGTATACATTGTAATAGTTGGCAAACATTGATTTTTTGTTTGTTTGAAACATTCCTTTTACATTAAACAACAGTGATGTTATGATATAAACAAAATGACCAACATTTCCTGCCTCTGTGTGAAGCATT